CCTAGGTATGTGTGTTGGGAGTTTACTGATGGAGAAAGTTCTCTTGTAGCATTCTCTGTGCATCCCCTTCCCACCACCTAGCCATCCTGATAGTGAACTTTTTGCTTTCACCAGCTCTTTGTCCAGGAATGCATTTTGCTTGCCTGATTTTTTCATATTGTTAAGTTTACAAATAAAAATCATACTGAGGTTTGGTTAGTCTTATCATACACATTTCATGAGCGAAAGCAGTGGCATTATAGGAACTACCATCCATAGGTATTTGAGAAATGACCATTAGATTGTTCATAATAAAGGACTCTGAAAGGTCACTCAGTCTGGCATAAAAGGAGTAAGATGAACAATAATGGTGTTTACATGTTTCTTCCTCATACAGCATATGGGAGAATAATGACATTCAGATTTCTATATAGCACATTTCTTCTTAGTATTCACAAATATCGCCTCAATTATTTTTCTATCATTGCTGAAAAGTAGGAAATATGTAGCTATTATCATCTCTATTTCCTAGTATAGTCTATGATGCTATTTTAGTACCTGTTACCTGAAAAGAAGGGCAGCTAGGTAGTGTGTTTATAATCACACTATCACCATTAGACCTCAGCACTGGAGAGAGATAAGAGGAAAGAAAGTAAAAAGAAATAATGAAAATGCAAACACAGGAAATCCTTAACCTATGAAAAGGTTGTATTCCCAAAGTTCATTTATTAAGCTATTGTGTGGAACTCAAAAATCTGTATTTCCATAGAAACAATACTATAACCAGTGGTTAGGTTCCTAGGCTAGCCTGTCACAGCCTATTTACTTATGTAGTTGAAAATACAATTATTACAAAGATTATAGTACCAGAAAACTATTTGGTTGGAAATATGTGGTATTTTAACTACACAGAAGGTTAAATAAACTTTTAGAGAATAACATATTAGCCAAATGTCTCTTCATAGCCCCAACTCAGTGCTTTGGACACTGGCAACAGTCAATGATGCTGTGACAACCACTCAAGATCTAGGAAAATCACAACCACAAACACAAACTCACAACCACAGGACCCTCAGAAAGAACTGCCCGACAACCTATCAAATAGGCCATCTTCCCCTTTCTAATTCCCAAAGCCACAACACAGTGGACAACCTGGGAAAAGACAGCTGGTATCAAAATTTCAATCCAGGATCCCAAGGGAATCTCCTTCTTCTCACTTCAAATATGGTAAAGGTTTCTGATTCCAAAGGGTTTCTTTCTAGTTTAATAAACTTTGTGTTATTATCAAAATATATTAGTTACATATAATATGCCAGGCACCACATTGTGAACAGAATACTAAAAATATTAATTTTGAGACCTAACAATTTATAATTTAAAGCAAAAAAATGTTTAAAAATATAGTACATAATATTTTAGAATCAGGGTGTATTTAAAGGGTGTCAAAATTAATGTCTAGCTTCATCAACTCCAATGAGCAAATGAAAATCTAAAAGGAATTGGCTGAACCAATTGTTAGACTAATTGGTGTCTTTGTTCAGAATACTGAACTGAGGCTATTCTTTCCCTGTTGCTACTGAGAAATTCATTTGAATTCAAACTATTAGTCATTTAATATGTATTACACACCTTCTATTTGCAAACAACAACAAAAAGATTCACATTTATAAAATGAAATAAGCATAAATACTACAGCATCAGAAAATCTCTAGCATTTTCAAAACATAAACATAAACCTGAACATCTCAAAATACATGTCCTATTGCCCAGCATACACAGTATCATTTCCAGGCATAGTTCAACATTCTAGACTTTATGGTCCTAGATTTCTGGCATACTTCTATGACAGCAGTTAATATATTATACCATAAATCTTTGTTATAAATCCAATTCATCCACTAGTCTAGGAGCTCACAAAGGGCAAGGACTGTGTTTTACTTAGTGTTGTATTTTCAGTCCTTGCATAATGCCTGGACCATGGTAGGAGGTCAATAAGTGGAGAAGTGGGGACGCTTTTCCAAGAGCTTTATGTTTCCTTCCATGGGCATAGAGCTCTGCCAACTGTAATGCTCCTGGCCACTTTTTCTCTCCCGTCTGGTTCTTCTATTTTATTTATTTTGTACAGAACCTGGGAGGGCAAAGGGTGCAATTTATTGCTCTTTCAAACCCAACCAGATCTATAGGAGGAAAGATGATAGGACAAATAAATTAACCTGTTCCACATTCCTACTTCACTTTAAATTGTCATTGAATATATAATAACCAACTAGAAAAAGAGAGCAAACACTTCTAAACTTCAAAAAGCTATTCTGGTCAAAGCAGATGCCAGAAATAGACAAAAGAGTTTGTGAGATTCTGATTGTACCTGAATCCATTTGCACCTCTTTCACACAAAGGAATTTGTGTACTTACACACACACACACACACACACACACACACACACACACACACACACACTACTCATTAGAGATCTAAGACACCATTAATAATGGTAATACATATTCATAAATGTTTTTAAACTATCATTTATGCAATCGACACAAATAGATCTTTGAGTACTATTTTAATCTTATACTACAATTATATATTTAGGACACATTACCCATAGATTTAAAAATTCAAAAAATATTTAAAATGTACTATGTTTGCCTCACAGCTGAGTTTTGAAATGGTGCATTCCAGATTCCGTATGTAAAATTAAAAGCTCTCTGACTGAATCAAATGACAGGTTCAGTCCCCTCTACTACTGATCCAGTTATGTGATTTGGGACAGATTTCTTACCTCTCTGTGCCTCATGTTTCTTCATGTGTAAAATTAGGAGTCAACTAGATAATCTCATAGGTCCCTGTTTTAGCACCAAAGTTTTATCATTCTAATATAATTATGGTACTTGTATTTTTTTCTACTATAGTCCTAAGCTGCTCTTAAAATCTTCTGTCTTTATTTTTTTTTAATCTTTGAGTTTCTGGTAATATTATTGCACCCCAGTGGACAGGGCTCTATGTATACCTGTTATGTTATGCTATCTATACCGGTTTTGGGAAACACTCTACTTCTAACATATTATTAGGGTAATAACAAAGAATTTCTGCAGCCATGTAAAAAGTAGAAATTAATTAATTATCAGATCAATAGCTTAATTAAGCCAATAATAGGTTATAATGGAAGGAATGTAAGAACATGATGGTTTATTAAAGCAGGGACATCCTTTTGTAAGGGTAAGAATAACATCCTTTTGTAAGGGTATGGAACCAACAGGTGGTTAATTCCACTTTCCAGAATATAGACAATGTACATGAAACTGGCCTGACAAAAAAGTGGTCTAATCAGCCTAAGTCATACAGAGAAAATATCATGATAGAAAATAAACCATTCAGCAGTAACAGTTCTGAGCATCGTGTAAAACAATATTATTGGCAGGAGCTTTACCTTCAAGCTACCAGCCTCACTGGAACTTCAAAATTATACAATTCATTGCCTGGGAACATGCCAGCCATCAGCAGGGGAGGGAGGCGGTATCTCTTTTTGTGAGAAAGCTTGAAATTTTTTAAAGGTACATTATGAAATGGCTTGGCAGAAGCTTGGCATGTAAATACTAAGGTTAGCATATTCTTTGTTGTAGCTCTACAGAATGTTAAGCACTGTATTTTAAAAATCTTAACATTTTAGAGTGCTTAAAATGAGTACTCTTCCCATTTAATGGGAGCCTTTTTTCCCCTCTGATGGGCAGACTATGAGGTTTTATAAGTGCTTTCCCTAAGTCTTAGAATCAAAGAGGTTTGATTGGTTCTTTCTTTCACAAGCTTATTTTATTGTGTTGGATGATGACTTGGCTTTTCATGTAACCCTGGCAGAAAGGGATTTGTTTACACTCCCCTAGGTTCTGGGAGGAGATTTAGGCCCCTGAGGAAGAAGGCAGTTCTGGCTAACATTGAGAAGCTAGGATTTGGTAGTACAGTTGCATAATGAGACCACATTCTACCCAGGACTGAACACAACTGGCAGAGTTAACAAACTCCAAGAATTTGATGCAGAAGTTAAAGTTTCTTTAGTCTTCTTTGTGAATGAAACTGTATACTTTAACCTGTAGTTCTGGAGGCCAGTTAGAATAAACCATTTATAATGACACAATTAATCATGGCATCTAGAAGTTATGTATCAACATCTTTTCACCAGAGTACAAAGAAGGCAAGAGAGCTAACACAACAGAAAGAAACAGACCAGCTAGCTTCTTCCATTTTTTGTAATGTATTAGAAAATGATGAAGATTTCAATATAAAATATATTGGTGAAATCATAATAGGATTAATCATCCTCCAAAAAGGAGAAAACTATTAAAATACCTTTGCATTCAGCATTGTTGGATTTCAAATGGTCTTAGTTACTGAGGCACTTGTTCTAACATGTAAGAGTTTAACCTCTCAGCCACAAAGCTAATCAACCATGAAACTCATTATATTCCACATAGAGAATACAGTATAGCCCTTGTCGATCACCTTAGAATTTATAGCCAGAAGATATGAACTGCCCATCCTACCCCAACTTGTCAGACACTATAAAGTTCAGATGGTATTTTCCCCAATGGTAACTATACCATGCAAACTGCAATTTTAACCTTCTTGTACAGGCAACAGTGTTTACATTTTTGTCTGTGTTAACTCTTCAACTCTTCAGTAGAAGGGCATAAATTTAGAAAGAAAACCACCAGAAAATTGGCAATCCCTCCACAGTTGCCTCACAACATTAACTATTAGACAAGATGAATATTATAGTTTCTCTTTCTGCCTGACACATGAAAGTGACTATTAAACCAATGATAAACATGCATTCCCTAGTAGCTACAGAGAGATTTTCCAGATGACTGCAATGAATTATCCGCTAGATGTATGAAGTGCAAAAAGCTGGATGCAAAACAATGCATACGAATCTACTGACATAAAAACTATGGAAATGTATACATTTCCATTTATAAGGACACACATCAAACACTTGGGCTGGGAAACAGTACTTTTGCTTTGCCAGGAATATTTGAATTTTTAACAAATTAAATGGATTAATGTATTACTTGCATTAAAATGAAAACAATTTATAACATTTAGAACTAAAACTTCAGACACAGCCAAGACTTAATAATTCACACATATTCTGCTTTGCTTTGGAAGGATTATGTTTAGTCATTACATTCTCTGTGGCATATTTTACTGAAAAGGCATCAAGAACTTAGTCTAAAGTCAAAGGAAATTTGTGAGCATGCTGTTGCTCTACAGTACCTAAAATACTTTAGCAGACCACCTAGCATTAAATCAGGCATGCCACAGATACTGGATGGATACATGAACAATAGATGGAAGAACAGATAGATGGATAAAGCAATAATAATAAGACTTCTTGAATTTACCGTTCATCTTGGTTGACTGATAAGAGAAACATGCAAACCTTTTGGGATGGTAGTTCCTTTGAGCAATTTTGATTGTGCAGTAGGTTTAGAACTGCTCATTTTTACAGTGCCTCTAACTGCATTTGAAAGAGAATTTCTCATCCTGTTCACTGATAGCTTTTCAAGGTTTGATATGTTTCAGGAGTCACAAACCACTAAGCAAATTTTCAAGAGTTTTCAAAGGCAGTAAGCCCTATAAAAACTCTATTTGCCTCACCAAATGTGAAACTTCATCCCGTGAGTTCTTCTACTGCTCCAAATCACTAGTTTCATTATCTTCCGGTACCAGATATTCAAAGAGTCTATTAATTTCTACAAAAATCAAAAAGGAAAAATAAATAGGAAATACTTGTCTAATTATTTCATTATACTTAAGGGACAGGTAATCAGTAAAGTACCTATAACATTTCAAGTTTTCTTTAAATAATTGTGGTAACTGTCTTTCTTTTTGACTCATTCTTAAATTTAAATAAATGCTTTTTGAGATTAGAAGCAAGGGATTGGTTTATTTATGTATGATTTTATTGTGATAAGAATACTTAACATAAGACCTACCCTCTTAAACAGATTTTTTCAGTGTTTAATACAGTATTGTAAATTATAAACACAGAACTCTAGAATTTACTCATCTTGCATGACTAAAACTTTATACCTTTTTTTTTAATGTTTGTTTAGTTTTGAGGTGGTGGGAGGGGCAGAGAGAGAGGGAGACAGAGGATCCAAAGTAAGGCTCTGTGCTGTCAGCAAAGAGCCTGTTGCAGGGCTCAAACTCACGAACCATGAGATCAAGACCTGAGCAGAAGTCAGACGCTTATCCGACTGAGCCATCCAGGCACCCCTACAACTTTATACCTGTTGATTAGCAGTTCCCCATTTCCACCCACCTTCCCCCCAGTTCCTGGAAACCACCATTCAATTCTCTGCTTCTATGAGTTTGACTATTTTAGATGACTTACATAAGTAGAATCATGGTTACATGATTCAATCAAGTCAAGAAACACTAGTGTTCTGTGACTGGCTTATTGTACTTAGTACAATACCCTCAAGGTTCATCCAAGTTGTCATATATTGCAGGATTTCTTTCTTTTTTATTTTTTGTTAACTCTCAATCTGTTGTAATTATGTTATGCTGGGGGTAAATAAATGAATGGTCAAAATGGAAATAATCACATGCATTCACACATACACACACACACACACACACACATACAACTGTTGAGTCACTTAAAGAGGTAGTAGAGACAGAAAGACCACAGGACTTCAGAAAAACATGTAGTTTGGGGCGCCTGGGTGGCGCAGTCGGTTAAACGTCCGACTTCAGCCAGGTCACGATCTCGCGGTCCGTGAGTTCGAGCCCCGCGTCAGGCTCTGGGCTGATGGCTCAGAGCCTGGAGCCTGTTTCCGATTCTGTGTCTCCCTCTCTCTCTGCTCCTCCCCCGTTCATGCTCTGTCTCTCTCTGTCCCAAAAATAAATAAACGTTGAAAAAAAAATTAAAAAAAAAAGAAAAACATGTAGTTTGTTCTATATTCTAACATTGGGGCTGGACAGCTGTGCTTGATGTAGTGGGGTGTGTACGTAAAAAAGATACTACCCTTTGACTACGTTCTCCAAGCATCACATATTCTTGCTTTTTCACTGCTTCCTCCACTGTCCTTTCATCATGGTCTTAACATAGTCTTGTGAACTATTCCATCTGCTCTCTACTCCCTCCACTTCCAGCCATGCTGCTTTTGACTTGGTATCCCAGAGAATATTCCTTCACTAGCTGTGTGATCTTGGAGTAGTCAGTGATCCACTGTGGCTCCTTACGTGTAAAATAAGAGTATCAGCCTGGATAGACCAAGGTTACTTCCAGTTCTTTTTTTTTTTTTTTCTTTTTCTTTCTTTGTGTGTGTGTGTGTATTTGTGTGTGTGTTTTATTTATTTTTGAGAGAGAGACAGACCATGAGTGAGAAAGGGGCAGAGAGACAGGGAGACACAGAATCTGAAGCAGGCTCCAGGCTCTGAGCTGTCAGCACAGAGCCCGATGTGGGGTTCAAACTCACGAATCATGAGATCATGACCTGAGCCGAAGTCAGACGCTTAACTGACTGAGCCACCCAGGTGCCCCTTTCCAGTTCTACCATTTGATATTTTCATGTCTTTTATAGAATTATTTCAGATGTAAATATCAAGGCTTATCACCCTTTAATGTCCTATCTCTTATCTTGCTGCTGTTCTCTCTTATCAATAATACTGGCAGATCTCAGACTGTTCTCACAAACCCTGTCTCAACAATTCAGATGTTCCTGAGTGTCTAGTGATGATTCAATCCAATCAGGAAAACATGCCAATGGCTCATGGTCACAAGAATTAAAAGATAACATATGTGGGCATGCTATAACACATACTGATAAATGTTTACATTAGTAACATCAGCACTAAAATGGTAACAGTAACCAAGGGTTGGTAGACATTACGTAGACTCAAGATTGGGTGAATTCATCTTTAAGATAGCTTTAATTAATAGACCTTTAAGCCCTGTGAGTCTATGACTACCAATACATTGCTCTAGTAATACAGTGAGATAACTGGGACTAGTCCCACATTCTGGTCAAAGTAAGATGCGATGTCACCTGAAGAAATGACTTGTCCTATATCAATTTCATCAACATTAAATACCAATACTATGAAAATATCATCTTCCAGTTGTTTATATTCTGAACATATTGTCTGATGACTACTGGCAGCAATGCAGAACTGCTGAGCAATTTAGTTAAAGGAGTGGGGACATAGGGTATAATGGAGAAAGGTACAGATTAAGGTAACCAGTGTTTTTTAATTATCCATCTAGATGTGAAAACTAAGAGTCAATAAATCTTCAAGTGTCCAAGTAAGGATAGTTGTTTTTAAACATACTCCTAATTTTAACCCATGTAAAGCCTTTTACTGAAATTTTCTAATTTAGCATGATGAAAAGAATGACTAGCTTTAAATTTTTTTTAATCTTTATTTAATTTTGAGAGAGAGACAGAGACAGAGTGTGAACAGGGGAGGAACAGAGAGAGAGAGGGAGACACAGAATCCAAAGCAGGCTCCAGACTACCAGCCGTCAGCACAGAGCCCAACACAGGGCTTGAACTCATGAACTGTGAGATAGTGACCTTAGCCAAAGTTGGACATTTAACTGGCTGAGCCACCCGGGTGCCCCAAGAATGACTAGCTTTTAAAGTGCACTTGAATGGCAAATTCCCTTTATAAAATAACATGTGAATGCAAGCTCAGTTTAAGACTGCAACTTTGAAATTGTCTAAAATATTTTCTACCAATGAACAATGAAATTCATTCATAACTATTTATATTCCTCTTTTCAAATAAATGCTTTAACCTTAGTATTTTTATAGCTCCTTCCTTTTACATCCTCACAAATAAAATCTCTTAGTTCCAGACAGACATTTAGTAAAAATATAATTCATCTCGCCTATCTCACTCTATCTATATGGCCTCTAAGTCTTACAAGTATAGGTAGAAATTGTCCATAGAAAATTGTTCTTGTCTATAGTTTTCTGGAAATTTCCGTGTTCAATTAACCACAGTTTAAGTTAATCAGAACATCTAGGAAATGAACACTGGTGAGACTGAATGAGGCAGAAAATTTGATTGTGTTATACATGAAATTCAGCTATTCAGTGAAATTCTCCAATTGTGGTAATTCCACTGTCCTGATTACAATTATTTCATCTATGTGGTGCATATATATTTTAATCTTCTCCTGACACTGTCTGTTTTTGTAAATGAATTTGTCTTCCCAGCTATTCACAAATACATTTGCATTATTGAGGTCATGTCTGACTATAGGGCTTGGTTCCATGATTTAAATAATATTTAATCTTAGCTCCTAGGATTATTTTTGCATTAGATAATAATTGATTGGAATCCACTGGCAAATAATAAAGATACCATTTTCTGTTAATGAGTTTGACAAAGGAGGATTCATATCCTTATATTTTTAAAAGAAAAATTTCTTGACCTTGAATACATTGATAAAACTCCTGATATCATTAAACATTCATAACAGAATATTAGATTTCACAGGTTTTAGTCAAAAGTCCCTCTAGGTATGGGCAGAATTCCTCTAAAATCAGAGCCCAAATAGGATTTCAGCCTATGTGGCCTTATCTTTTGGAAGTTAGCCCATTCCTGTTATATTTTACGTCTAGATTTCCCTTCCCTCCTTCTATCCTTTCTTCCTGCTGCTCTCCCTGCCTTCTTTCTTTCCTCCCTTCTTCCTTCCTTTCCTAGCACCTTTTTTCCTTTGTTCTTCCTTCCTTTCTTTCTACACTGGGTGTCAAAATTGCTTTTTCCACTTTTCACTGTTGAGGCTGGATTCCATAAGGAAAAGTTACCATAAAAAAAGCTGAAAATTCTAACTTGATCAGAAAAGCAAGAAATATATGGGGACAAGTGACATATTCTTTAATGTCCCCTTCTAATTCCTCCCCACTTAGGCTTATTTTTATTTTATATTTCAATCAATTTATACAACAAAACCTAAGACAAGCACTTATGCTTTAGAGGTTTTAAACTTGTTTCATTTTTCAATTCTTAAGCAGCTATTTATGTAAAGATTGTTAAATTTTTCTTCAAAAAGAAAAAAATTCCAGGGGCGCCTGGGTGGCGCAGTCGGTTAAGCATCCGACTTCAGCCAGGTCACGATCTCGCGGTCCGTGAGTTCGAGCCCCGCGTCAGGCTCTGGGCTGATGGCTCAGAGCCTGGAGCCTGTTTCCGATTCTGTGTCTCCCTCTCTCTCTGCCCCTCCCCCGTTCATGCTCTGTCTCTCTGTCCCAAAAATAAATAAAAAACGTTGAAAAAAAATTAAAAAAAAAAAAGAAAAGAATTCCATCATTCATAATTTACTGAAATTTTGCTAAGTTTAAAAACATTTCTGTTGGAGAACTGATGTGGTCTTGAATCAGTACCTAGATGTTCCCAGTGCTGGTCCAAACTCCATTACTGATTGACAGCATGGTCTTAGAAATGATGTAATTTCTTTATTAGCATTTTGGCTAAAGTAGGGATAGTGATAACATCCTAACAAAAAAAAAAGGTGATTTGTTATAAATGGACTGTGTAGGAATACAAATTGCTTTCACTGACAGTTTGGTCATACAATTCAATAACCAAGCCCTGAATGATACTGCCATAGCCCAGGGATTCCAAGTCTATTGTGAAGTTGTGTAGGGGACAAAGAGAGGAAGAGATTTTCAATCAAGCAAATCTAACAATAAGATCTGGCAGACCTGGGCACCTGAGTGGCTCAGTGGGTTAAGCA